ATCAAATACAGTAGAGTCTCAAAAACTCGGCCTAATGCGGACCAAAGGGTGGCCGAGTTTATGAAAATGCCGGGTTATTGGGAATGAGGTTAAAAAAGGATAAGTATGCGTGTTTCCTCAGAAAATGCTGTACTGTACTTGTATGTATTGTTTGCTTGAGAATACAACAGAGATTAAACTGCCCAAATACCCTTAAACAAAGAAAATGTACTGTACTTGTATGTATTGTTTGCTTGAGAATACAACAGAGAATAAACTGCCCAAATACCCTTAAACAAAGGAAAAGTACGACCTTTATGAAGGCATAGGTCGTAAAAGAGCCTTTACTACATGAAAATGAAAATTAAGGAATACACTGTGTACAGTAATTTACCTGATAAGACAGACCTCAGAAAAATACTTTATGAGGCATAAAGCTGTCTGTAATGAAAATTAATTAACTAAGGATTTTTTGGTGTGGCCAAGTTATCCGGACTTCCGGGTTATCGAGTGCCGAGTTTTTGAGACTCTACTGTACTATATATGGTTTTCATTTTAATGTTTGTTATATTAAAGAGTTTTGTTATTTTGGCCCACCATTGGCACGTTTATCACAATACTTGGATGGTACAAAATGGCACAAATTCAATGGTTAAGTAGACAGCAATTGAAAATATTCTTAAATTTTTCAGATATCATAATATTTTCTAATGTTAACTCTAAGAATCTGTACCATTCACAGACGAATATCAAACGGTAATATGCCAACAAATAAAATTTCAGAAAAAACAATCAAATATTTAAACTCAGTACCCTCCGACAACTACTTAAAACATATTTTCTGCTCGGCATTAACCTTGTATTAAGTAATTTTCCTATTAAAATGCCATCATAGCACTGAACCGATAGGAAGAAGGGACTGTTGTGGAAAGGGGTTGAAGTAATTTGATCAAAAGTAGTCATTGACCTCCTCCTGGAAGAGAGGCTGGCCAATGACTACTAATTACTATCTGTCTACTATTAATATTTGAAAAGTGATCTGTGTTGAATGGGTTGTGATAGCATGTGATTGAAGTTGCTAACCTTAACATTCGAAAGACTTCATATAAAATTTGTTTAAATAAAAAAAGTCTTGTAAAAATGTGAAAATAATTGCTTTTATGTAATAATAAAGTGTTTAAATTTTGGCAACAGATTTTATAAACTATGTGTGAAGTATGTTCTCATAAATATTGCATTTATAGAAAAATGATTGCATTGCAATTAGAAAAAATGTAGACTTAATACTTTCCACTGTTCTTCCTTAATCTCAAGAAAGGAGTTAGATGAAAATCAAAACCAAATATGGAAAGCTTAGGGACAGAAGGTCCAGATTAACTATATAGGAACTTCTGGTTTGAAACAGAAGTAACATTACTTTGATTCAAAATCTTCTCCTGAACAGAGTTAGATATATGACTGTTATGACTTTATTGCTAACAGGAAAAATATGATGTACAGGGGCAAAACCACTACTGAAAGAATTGAGAACATTGTGATGATGTCAGAATAGATAAACTAAACTAATTCTAATGAGTGATTATTTGGTTATGGAACACAACACATGAGCAATCTGCCAAGTAGGATGCATCCTGGAAAGACTTTTATGTAAAGCTGGACCCAATTTAAATTTACTAACACGAAGAAAACCCAGAAAACTTCACATGGCCAGCTCGTTGGCTATGCGCAAACTCACAACTGACTACTGGTGTTCAGTGGTTTTATCCACTCAGTTAAGGAGGGTACTTGTTGTGCTGCAATTTGAAAAAATTGTAGTCCTATAAATTCCCATTGTTGTTTGTCCATTCTGTCCTTCCTTAATCTCAAGAACAGAGTTACATAAATAAAAGTCAAGATCTGGAAATCAAACATGAAAGAGGACCAGATTAACTGTATATAAACTTCGGATTTGTGCTGCAAGTCATGTTTTTTCAATTAAAAAATTTTCCCCTGAATGAAATTAGATACATAACCGGTACAACTCTAATGCTAACAGGAAAAGTATGATGCAGGGGGCAAAACACTACTACACACTACACAGGCAAGTGCTGTGTGTTACCTGTTGTAGTAATGGCATAATGGTACATCTATTTCATGCTATATTATTGTTGCAGTAATTCGTTAAACATAATACATACATTTTTTTAAAAATTAATACAATTTTCACAAAAAAGGATGTTAGTTAATTATTTTGTTAATGTTTTTCCCCAATAGATGGACTACATGTAAAGCCTACCATCAAATGTAGACAGAAATTAATTGATCATTTGGGATGGGATGTATGACTTGCTCTAAATTAGAAGTGAACGGAACTGCTGAATTTCATAGCAATTGGTCAAATGGCCTAGTTGTGTATAGTGAACAAACAAAGAAACATCCTAATTTATATAAATAGATTTAAAATTTACTTGAAATAATTTTTAAAATTGATAAAAGCAAAATTTTATGTATTTAATAGATTTACAAAGACAACAATAAAGATAAAAAATTGTAAAAAATGTAGTGACTGATATCCAGTATTATTTTATTGCTTATACAGGTATACCTCGCCTTACATCGGTAATTTGTTCCAGGAGAACGACGTAAGTCTAAAAACGACGTAAATCGAATTTACTTGTCTCCNTTTTTTCTTTACCTTTTATAATTGTTCTGACTGTCGATTCTGGTAGATCAAATTTCTTTGCCAATTCACAAATTTTCATTTTTGTATTGAAGTCTTTAATAATACTGTTAACTTTACATTCCAAAGATAAAGTTTTTCTTTTCTTGTTTGATGCAGAAGAATCAGTTCTACTTCGTTTAGATGACATAGTAGAGTCTTTCAAGTCTCCGTAGATAGAACAAACACAGAAATAAATAACCCAAAATAAATTGTAACTATATGTTGATTCTGCGCAACACGTCCAAACATGTAAGCTGAGCAATAGTGTGGGGGAATGAGTAATCAAGATTTGCATGGCGCTCAAACAGAAGACAAATCGACAAGATTTGAAAATCGCGTAAGTCGGGGTAGCGTAAGTCGAGGTATTACTGTACAATTAAATAATTCCACTCTAAAAAAACACTAAGTACCTTTTATAAGAATTGTTTAAAAACAGAATAAAATAGTTTTATTGACTGATGGAAAAAGACTATTTAATTGGAAGATTAGCAATTCTTTTGCATCAAAGAAGACAAAATTCCTAATATATTATAAAATACAGTTCTGATACTAAGTGATTGTAATCTTATATTGGAATGATATTTATTTAATTATATAGTAGAAGTCAATCAGATTGCTGGATTAATAGGCATTTTTTTTTTATTTTTGCAAAATTCCATAAGTTTCATGCAATCTGATCATTCCAGACATTACTGATACATTTTGTATTAGCTTATGCTATCATAAGCTTCCAATTTGTTTATGTACAGTCTTTAATCAGCCTGAACGTGATGCAGTCATGATATACCAGCATGCCCCAACAACCCATTCTTATAAAAAGTGGCAGTCTTCTGGGCATTAATGAGGCAGGTATTCCACATATTGTACATGTACAGATATGTTAGATGCAGTAAAATAACTCAGGTACATAGAAAGGATTGCAATAACACATGAATACACAAGAAAATTAATACAAAAATTAGCCCAAAAATCCATCCATAATACTGAAGTCCAACCTCACCTTAATTGTGTTAAACTGAGATAACATATACCATCTGAGTCCGGCTATATATAAATGGTTGACTTCAATACAAGACTCAAATCGCTCTATGAAGAAATTATGAGGAAATTATGGGGACATAACAGCTCAGTGTACAAAATAGCAGTATTATGCAATAGTAAAGATAGTATAAATTTAGATAGAGCACCAGGAGTATATCTTATCACAATATATGCTTTGGATAGATCAATCACGAGCATAAATACATCAAGAAAAATAAACCTATCATGTTACTTTCTGTATATGCCAGTGAGCTGGAGGTGAAAGCCAAACTTGAAGAAACAACTAATTAAACTGAACTTTAACAAGGAAAGAGTTTTAAAGGTTCCTGAGATTTTCAGAGACTGAAAGGAAACTGCATTAAACATAAGGATGGTAAATCATAATCAGCAGCTTGGCAATCATGTTACACCACCCTTCATGAAGTGTGAAAATGACTTTACTATTGACTCTGATTAAAAATTGGTTGTTATGTTTTAATGAGAGATATTATTATTAATACATATATAAATTTAGTTTTTAAAAATTTTTCATATAATTCTAAAAATTAGTTTTGAATCTGATGAATCTGATTTTTGAATTTGAATCATCATAAACTATTCAATATTCCAAAATAGAATGTTATTAATGTTAGAATTGACTGTAGACCTGATGCAGGCCTATAAACCAGGCTGAAAATGTTTGTTTCATTAATAAATATTTTGCTTGAAAGAAGAAAAGGTTATTATTTTTGATATTTTCAATTGGTTCCAGTTTTATTTTCCATTTTCTCAAATGCAAATACAGTAGAGTCTCGGTAACCCGGCACTCCAGATGACTCGGCCACACCCTGGCAGGGCAAAAATAACCTTAGATAATTAATTTTCATCATAGACAGCTTTATGCATCAAAGTATTTTTCTGAGGTCTGTCTTATCAGGTAAATTACTGTACACTATGTATTCATTAATTTTCATTTTCATGTAGTAAAGGCTCTACGCCTTCATAAAGTATGTACTTTTCCTTTGTTTAAGGGTATTTGGGCAGTTTATTCTCTGTTGTATTCTCAAGCAAACAATACATACAAGTACAGTACAGTATTTTCAGAGGAAACACGCATACTTATCCTTTTTTAACCTCATTCCCGATAACCCGGCATTTTCACAAACTCGGCCACCTTTCGGTCCACATTAGGCCGAGTTTTCGAGACTTTACTGTATTAATAATATCCTTTATGTCAATTAAACTATATATCTTAAAATAATCCCATTTAAAAAGTTTATAATTAATTTTCAATACTTACAAGGGTGTTGCAGCAGGAATAGAGGCTAGACAAAGTATCCGTGCATTACATACTCCATTACATGATGTCACTGTTGGATCAGGTTGGAGACTAAGCACACATACTTGTCCAACATAACCATCACTATTGCAAACCCAAACATCTCTCATATTATACTGATTTAGACCTAACGTTGCAGACGCACAAGTGAACTAAAAATAAATAAAAATAAATATTTTATGTAATTGACATATGCTTATTATTTAAAGTAAATAATTTTACTACAGATATAAATTCCCAGGTTTTGATCATTTTTACATTTATTTTTACTTTAGATGAAAAGCTATCTGAAGCTAATAAGTTAATTTATACAAATTCAAAAAATTTAGTTTTTTTATATTTGGTATAAGACATCAAGAATATATTAACTCTTAATTGCTTGGCAATGTCTGTCCAAGCAATTAAGGTGACATCCCACCATTCTAGAGAACCTGGAATCAAATCTAGACAGGTTGAAAAACCCTGGGAAATTTTCAGGGATGGTCTGGATATATTGGGACTGCATCCCTCACCCCCAATCATCCATTGTGGGCTTGTTAGAAAGGTTAGTGCCCACAGGGTAAAGAGTTAAACTCATATTTCCTATTTATGAAGTAACATCAAAGAATATCTAAATCAAACAAAATATAATAATATCCAAATGAAATAAGTATTTTTGTTGATTTGAAACTAATTTTTAGTTATTACTTTATAAACATTTATCAAAGAATCAGAAAGTATAGTTATAAATCTGAAAGTCTAAGTAATAATACAGTTTTCTTTTGAGAAACAAATATTACTTTAAAATTTTTTATTAACTTAGTTTTAAAAATAATTTTAACTTATTGCTAGTACTTCATTGATGAAGACAATATATCAAACTAATTAATTTGGTAAATTAAAATTTTTAAAATATTATGTCTATAATTTTTCACTTCTCATTATGAAATAATGATATTAGAAAGAGATGCAAATTTTCCTAAGAAAAATACAAATTAAATTGTTTAAAATGATCATATACCTGGAGACCAGCTCTAGTTTTACGAATTGGCAAAGGGTACATAAATTCTGGAGGCGGTCTTCTATCTGTTGATAAAGCTAAAAATTTGAATTAACAGTCAATATCTTAATAATAATTTCAAATTCTTACAATTTTTAAAACTTTCTGTAATTTTAACTTTTAAGGTTTTACCTAATTTTTGCTTGGCCTCATTAAAAGCTGCTTCCCAAGATAATCTTTTTTCAGATGATGGAAATATAACCGTCATATTTTCAACACCTTCCCTGAAGAAAATTTATGATGATGAATTAACTCAGTTTTTAAATTAACAATGCAAATAGAAATATGAAAAAATTATAAATTTTTATTTTAGAAATGTTTCTGAAACATAATACTCATCCTCATATATAATTTTACAAAAAGCAGTTTTTAATATTCACTTGAACGGATACTTTTAAAATTATTTTTTTGCAAAATTGTCCAGTTTATATTATTTAAAATTATCAAAAATAATCAGAAACACTTCTGAAATAAATACATTTTTGAATTTTATATGTGTCTCACTAAATTTTAAATTTTGAAATTTTCATTTTCACAAATTTTTGACACTTATAAATTTATATCTTTATATATAAAAATAATTCTTACTGTGTTGTGATAGTTAGTTCTACACTAAGAAACTGGTTGTCTGCATTTTGTTTTTCAAAAAGTTGTTTTGTGACATTAGATAATAATTCTTTTATTACATCATCCAAAGCCTATTTAATAATTAAATATAAAATTATATTCTTATTATTAGATCTCATATAAAAATCTCATATTTAATTACAATAAATAGATATTTATTAATTTAATTAAAAATGCATAAACTTTATTTTTTATGTAAATTTACAAACAACATAAAGTAACATTAACATTAAAAATGGACTATTCAATTTATTCACTAGAATGTTTTTATTTTGTTTTTAAAAGATTATTTTATTTTAAAATATACTTTCAATATACATAATATTTGAATGTCAAATCTTATTTTCTAATCATTGTAATCTGTTTAATGTAATATACCATAATTTCATGTAGATGACCTATGGATCTGTGTTTGAAAGGTGATGCAGTGGATTATATGCCATTTTAAATTCCAATCATGAGTATATTAAAACATTACAAATACAAATATTAAAACAAGAGAACATTAATGATTTGAATAAATATTAAAATAATTGATTATGCATTACAATATTAAAATATTAAAACAAGCAAAACTCTTAATGAAATCATGTTTAAAAGGTTACAGCATTTGGACAAATTAAACAAAATAATTTTAATATCAATAATAAAATTATTTTCATAATTTATTTGAGTTAATAATAATAGTCCTTTGTCTATAAATAATAATTTTATTATTATTACTAGACAAAGAAAATTAGCATTTATTTGTTTTTGCTTTGTAACTATTTATTTATTTCTACACTTAATTTATATAATTGGAAAAATTCATAAACACCTGCAATTGAATTAAGGAGTGGCCAACCAGCAAAGAGGTGAATTTGAAAGTTATTTAATATTTGAAATTTTTTACAAATATTAGTGTAATTAATGTAAAATAGATTTCTAAATTAGAGTTTAAAAAATAAAGCAAAATGGTCATTTCATCTTTAGTTTTGATTTTGTTAATTATTATTTTGAAATAAATTTAATAATTATTAAATAGAATTATTTTACATTAATTATTAATAGTTAGCTGAACTATAGTCCAAATAATCTGGAATTAATGAGATTATTATAGAATATTTGAGCTTGGTTGTTTATATGTATCTACAATAATATGCTAACAGGAATGAAAGAGAAAAAGCAATATTTTAATTCTTGAGATACTAAACTGCATACCAACAATTCTAAACTGCATACCAACAATTATCTTGCTTTCAGAGGCCACCCAAGAAATGGTGTATATAGTAAGGAAAGTTATATGAAGGTTTTATTTTTGTTCTTGCAGTTTTCTGTGGGTTATCCACATGAAATTACAGAATGTTTAGTCATAGCTCAATAGTCTAACATTAATCTTAAAAATGCATATAAATAAATATTTTAATACAAATATTTTTCTGAGAATTCCAAATTTACTGAAAATTTTTTTACAACTGATAATATGATTATTTCAAATCAAAAATGGTCTGGTATGAAAAATTATATTTTCATGTACAAGTAATTGATATATACAAATTTCATAACTGTCTATATGCACATGGTTGAATATATTATTCACATAAATTAAAAATTATAAGATCATAAAAAATTTATTATTTATTTTTATAATTTTTAATCAAATCTATGCAGAATTGATGAAATATTGTATCCAATAGCATTTCCAATTATAATTTATTAATTTTTAATATTTTTAAGCTTTTTTATTCATAGCTAGTTTTACTTATTTATTGTTATTTTTTAACATAAATCAAATCATATAATGTATAAATATATATCATATTCATATTTAAATATTCATTTATTTATAAGAATACTACAAGAGACAGGAAGAAACAAGCAAACATATGAAGAACATAGCACATACACTGTATAGTAATTGCCATCAGTCAAATTTACTAAGTTTACAAATGCCAGTTAAATTTACAATGTTCTTTGTTCACATACACAATTGGTGACCAACTTGGTATGCCAATTACACACAAATAAAAATAAAGTTCAAATAGTCCAATATGCTGAACAGGTTCGCCAATCAGTGATTACCAGTTGCAACGCTATGCAAATATGGGATTCCTGTCCAAACAGCTGTTACATAAAGCCATAGCTTTATGCAAATCATGCCGTGTGGCATGATTATCTGCTGACCATTCAGCAGCCGTGCATTCAAAATGCCAACGGCCACTTTCAACTGTCTGTTGACGACCGTTACTAATTCAAAATAAACTGGAATGTGTCTCTACATGATCCAACCCTGACACCATCTTTACAAAAATTTTGTTTTCAACTTGAAATATATTTAACATGAATACATTATAATATATAGTGATGCTAGCAGATGAGCCTGGTGTTGCTCAGGCAAAAAATAACAGCAAAGATTAAGATTATTAGGTTATTTTGTACTTCTAATCTTTATAGTATTTGATTTATATAACTACAAAAGCTATCTTACATAAGGGTTTATCACCAAGTACCCAATCTAATACATTTTAAAAATTCTATAAATTGTGTAAGTATAGGAATAAAGAATTTTAAAAATGTGTTAGATTGGCCTAAAAATGTGTGATAAATCCTTATGTAAGATAATCTTTGTAGTTATATAAATCAAATACAGTAGAGTCTCAAAAACTCGGCCTAATGCGGACCAAAGGGTGGCCGAGTTTATGAAAATGCCGGGTTATTGGGAATGAGGTTAAAAAAGGATAAGTATGCGTGTTTCCTCAGAAAATGCTGTACTGTACTTGTATGTATTGTTTGCTTGAGAATACAACAGAGAATAAACTGCCCAAATACCCTTAAACAAAGGAAAAGTACGACCTTTATGAAGGCATAGGTCGTAAAAGAGCCTTTACTACATGAAAATGAAAATTAAGGAATACACTGTGTACAGTAATTTACCTGATAAGACAGACCTCAGAAAAATACTTTATGAGGCATAAAGCTGTCTGTAATGAAAATTAATTAACTAAGGATTTTTTGGTGTGGCCAAGTTATCCGGACTTCCGGGTTATCGAGTGCCGAGTTTTTGAGACTCTACTGTACTATATATGGTTTTCATTTTAATGTTTGTTATATTAAAGAGTTTTGTTATTTTGGCCCACCATTGGCACGTTTATCACAATACTTGGATGGTACAAAATGGCACAAATTCAATGGTTAAGTAGACAGCAATTGAAAATATTCTTAAATTTTTCAGATATCATAATATTTTCTAATGTTAACTCTAAGAATCTGTACCATTCACAGACGAATATCAAACGGTAATGTGAGAAATAGACCGAGTTAATTAAAAATAAAATGTTTAATATTAAACAATCACTTATTAACATCGAAACTCTCAGTTTTTCTTTGTGTTGAAATTCTCCCTGGGAGGAAATCTATCCTTCCGTGCCCCGGAGTGACTTCCTTTCCCAACGGAACCCGAAACTGAATCACCCGGACATCTTTTAAAAAAATCTACGATTGGTGAAACCCGGCCACGAGACCCGAAGGTATAAAAGACCAGGTGCCGCACGGAAGGGGGGTTCGATTTCGTTTACCCAGATCCAGGACGCCACCCGACCGCCACGCCGACGAACCCTGGGACGCTCCCGAGAAACGACCGCATACCTACCCGATCAGGAGCCTCGATCCGAGTAACCCTTCAAGCAAGACATAGACCGAAAGTTCATCCGAGGTATGACCCGATATTGTACACTCTCTCTCGGCGCGGTCCCTTCGAAAAACGCGCAAGTAGTTAGTCATTGTATGATAGGATTAGGTTGTCTGAATAAATGTTTGTTTGTTTATTAAAAGGTCGTCTTTATTTCGGGTATCGTTAACGCTTTACCGTCGACCCCTCTCACTTCCTCCACTCGACCTGACAAAAGAATCCCGACTGTACGGGATAGAAAAAGCACTTTCTAAGCCATCCACTGACCAGTGGGCAGTTGTCACCCAACTGTTGCCTATCAAAAAGAGGTACGACCTCGTCCTACCTCAGGCTACCCACAAATTGGTTTTTCAGGAGTGGGGTTCGACTTTCTCGAGATATCGGTAAAGCAGGAAAAAGCGATATTCGAGGTAAAGGAGCGATTATAGTCGAATTAGGGACTGGTAGATTAGGAGAATTGCTAGAAGAGGTATAAGAGATAGATTTAGGACTAGGAGACATGATGGAGGGCGATCCACAACCAGCGGCTGCGGCAGAAAACCCTAATCCTAATCCAAATCCAAATCCTACTCCAAGCCCAATCACCTTGGGAGGTCTGGGAGGAATAATTCCCTTATTGCCAGTATTCTCCGGAGAAGCGGGAGGTCTCCGAGTAACAGATTTTTTTGATTCATTGGCCGATGTCACGAAAGTAGCGGCATGGTCCAAAGCGCAAATGTTGGCGGTGGCCAAGTTAAAACTTACCGGGATAGCTCGGGAGTTTGTACGAAAGGATCGTAGAATTAAGGAGGTAGATGATTTTGAGGAATTTAAACGAATAATGTTAACCCGATTCGACAAAGAGCCCTTTTCGTTCCGATTAAATAGATTTTATACGTGCGTACAAAGGAAAGATGAGGACGTACAAACGTACGCTGCTAGGCTTCAAGCGTTAGCTATGGAGATTGAGATTACGCCGGAACCCGGAGCAGATGACGCTGAAACGGCAATGATTCAGAGAATTCAGCGAAAGGAACTAGACGAACGATTAAAAGTACAATTCCTAAACGGCGTTGATATTCGAATCCGACAACGTATCATGTCCAGGGAGCCAGTTACATTTGATGATGCGTTAGAAGCGGCGATTAGCGAGGAATCAATTGAGGAACTTACCGCACATCCCCGTGGGATCATGCGCACTGTTAGGGAAAGCGAGAGATCACCGGATTTCCGCTCTAGAGACAATTTGGAGCAATTAACCACCGCGATGGAGGAACTTAAGGCCAGAATGGATAGGTTAACACGAGGATCATCCTTTAATAATGCAAGAAACCCTATAGTACGACAAAATAATCGTGGAAATTATAATAATCCACCTTTCCGGCGAAACGAATATCATCCGGCTGCACCCACTCACCGATTAGA